AGCAGGAGCACTTCTGAGTAAGAGGTGGCCACAAAAAATGCAGATACAGAAGGACAAACACAGCTGTAACAGTGCAAGGCGCCCCTCACAACAGGGAGCATCACAAAGCGTCCCCTAACCCTGCTGAGGTGTCCCTCAAACATCCCCTCGCAAAGATGCGACCAGCCAGACCAATTCTTATACATAAGCGTTAAGCAAAACCCACGCTGAGCTTGGATCTGTGCAGTGAGGTTTATGTTTACTGCCTGGGCAGGCCACTCTTCCTGCTGTACCACCCAAACATGCAAATGTCACCAGCGAACTCAGCAACGTGACATTTAGATATCTATTTTATCAGCCTATATTTCAGCTCTCTATCACTTCTTCCTCTCCCTCAAAGAGATACCAACTTGCTGAACAATTAACTTTAAAGGCTCAAAACCTGAAAGGCTGTTGAGTAACAAATTACTTACTTGCCATCTAAAGTAAACTTACAGGCCACACCTCTGCAGACACCTTCCCTCTGTTGGTACTTCAACACTGTTTTAAGGCTACCGGCTCTGTTTCCATCCAGGGATGTGATGATTTCCATGCTTTATCTCTGAACTTCACTTCACTGCTGTTTTCCTTCTACCTTATTTTCTTCCTAGCCCCCTTTTTCTCAATTCACAAAGAGCAATCCCCTGCAGAAGAGAGGCTGTGGTTTCTGTTATGTCTGTACTGGTTGCTGTACATCACCGAGTGCCTCAGTGCTCCTTTGGTACCACGACATCTCAGTATAGTTATTAGCAATGTCACGTACTCTGATACCTTTCATTTCAGGTCAAGAGATAACTAAACCACACCAAAGTGCTTTATAAAAGCACTACTTAACACAGCAATATTACTGAAAGATAAAGTACAGGGGTTGGAGGGGAGAAGCATTATTTCTGAGAAGAGGCAAGTAGATTTTTTTGCTTCAGTTAACATTTCATCATAGCAGGTCAGGAAGGCCAAGAAGACCACGTACATATCAAAACCTGCAGTGCAAAGTGCTGTTTACCTGGAGACTGTCTAGATAATAATGTCCAGAAGAAGTAACTGGGGATTGCTCACTCACAGTTATGCATCTAGGGGCAGAATCTAGCAAAGAATTAGGCTATCCAGCTTTTCCAAAATCAAAACCGTAGCTTTTCTTGTCAAAGCAGACAATGTTTGACTTCCTTTTATTAAACTCTTTGCAGCAGGAGAATTTGACACAAGAAGATGCTTCTCCTATCATGAAATTTGCTTATCTGGTAATTGCCACCATTGCTGCCCTCCGCAAGAGAAATTTTCCAGCAGAAGCATGGACATCCCCAGGCCCCAGATGCGAAGGGAGAATTGGGACAGCTCCACGCTTGGCCATGGTGAGACAGAATAAGCAAAAACATTTTAAAAATAGTTGTTTCATTTAGGGAAGGTAAATTAATACAGTAAATGCAACCCAATTTTAGGCAGAAGCATGGCTTGATCAATCAGTAAATGTCACTAACTGTCTAGACAGGCATCAGAGGCTGAGCAATATGCGTTGTTCCAACTTCCCTGGAAGCAATAAATGGACAGAATTTATATGAGAAATTAAAGAGGGAGAACTAAAACTTCAGAAAGTATTTACCACAAGAAACTGAGGTCTCACCTGGTTTCCGCCACGGTTTGTCTTCAAACGAATCTAAATCCACTTCGATAACAGGCAACCCATTTATATTCCCTGCAGCATCCAAGTCAATACCTTTGGGCTGCAACTTGGCTTTGGAGAGAGAGAAACTGTTACTACTTTTAATGCAATGCCTTTAATCCACTCATCTGCTGAGCAAATTATCCCAGTCAAAAATAAAGTACTACTGTGTATTTATTGCTGGCTTTACAGCACATAGGTAACCACAATCAACTTTTGTAATCGGTCCCTCTATAAATAAATAGGCAGTGCATAAAGCATTTGAAGAGCAGAGGAGCAAAATTAACTCAAATTGGTACTACAGACAAATGGAATAAATTATTAGAGCATGCAGGAAATTTACTCCAAATTAAAAATAAGTATTTTTCTCCCAGGTAAAAGAATTAATTTTCCCTCCCAAGATACACACATTTTCTCATAACAAGAGACTTTCAGGATCATTCTTAAGTAGACTGTGTACGAACTGGAGTCAGCAAAAATCTGTCGGGTTCAGAATCCTCAAGGGGAATTTGTTCTGATTTTCTCCATCAGAAGACAGGTTGTTTGCATAAAGATATTAACAGAAGGAAGTGTGTAAAGCCCATGAAAGGACAGAATCCATTTTTAGAATAAACTAAACTGAATGGTGGGGAAAATTTCATTTGCAGAAATAAGCACAGCTGATACTCGAGGCCATAGGTTCTTTCTTGTAGTATCTTACACTGCGAGTAGGTGAGTGTATTGACTAACGAGTAAAAAATCTTCTCCAAATTTACAATGTTTGGCCCCAGTGCAACAATATAGTTTAGAAATATTCTGGGTTTTTTGACTAGAAAAGTAATAATCGATGTATTTTTTTTCTAGTTTAAATAGAATTATTATCAGCTTGTTCACTGATGGGTAATTAAAACATTCCAGTGCACCCTGGACCCTCAGACTGTTCCTTATCTTTAGGAAATGCACTTACTATTCCTAGTTTAAGTAAGATGCACTAATTGTAAATCCTTCCAAGCAGAGACCAAGATTTGCAGCTGCTCCAGCGGCCAGTGCCAGATAAGTGAAATACTGCAAAAGGTGAAAGATAAAAGTAACAGCAATACCTGAAGCAGACGCTCCATAGCCTCTACCCGTTTTTAAGTTTAGATTCATAGGAGTTCCCCTATATGGAAAAGAATCACTCCATTGGTATTGAACAAATCAATTGGCTCATGATTCTCATGCAAAATACATTCAAGCCCTGACATCCTTCAGAAGATGCTCTGTTCACTTGGGTTTATTCACGCCTCTCTATGATTTTTAGTACTATGTCTCAAAAAAGTGTGACTCATTCCCCACGAAAGCTTCTCTAACCCTACAGAAATGTAGCAGACGTATTTACTGACCAACAGCAGAACAGAAGAGGATTGTTGTGAACGTGAAGGGCAAGGTTATTTCAAAGAGTGGTAGTTACCATTTTGCCCAGGAATGTATTTAGTATTTAAATGAGACTGAACAACACTGAAATCACAGCTGCACACAAGTCACAGAATGAGGAAAGGTAGAAGAAGCAGATTTTAAGAATGTCTGCAAAATCTAGCGAGCTGCTAACGGATGGAGCACTGCTATTTGGAGTAATCTATCACACTGAAACCACCTCTGTAACAGGAGAAGGGAATTATCCATAAAGTGGAAAAATTAGAATATGCTGCACAGCACACGTAAGTTATGTCCTTAAGAGGAAGGCTGCTAGCAGCAAGCAAAAATGCTGTCTTATTATTATTATTCAATAGAAACTTGGTAGAATTTTAAGTTTGCAAATCCAGCCTCACCATTTCTGAATCATGAAAAGTCAGACAACTGAGAATTAGTAAATTCAGAGCTTATGCAAATTCTTATCAATACAGATTTTGGTTCTTGAAGTTTTCCCTGATGATGAGTTAAATGTGGCACTTGGTGGACTTGGCAGTGGTAGGTTAGCAGTTGGACTTGACTATAATAAAGGTATTTCCAACCAAAATGATTCTACGATTCCCACCTTTGATTTTGCCCTATGAAGCATTGTAATGATTTGGTTGATTTTCCAACAGCAGACCCATGAATTATCATTCCTATTTTATACATGGATTCTCCAACAAGCAATTGCAGGACCGTTTCTAACCCCATTGCGGTGTTCAAGCCATTACTCTCACGTGTCCCAGGAAACAGATCAGCTCTGATCCCTGCTTTCAATCCCCATCAATGCACCAGAGCTACATCAGACCGACACCCTGACCAGGTTTTCCTTTTTATGAGGTTTTTCATACATACATGTACGATGGTGCTCCCGTTTTAATGTTGCCAATAGTCACTTTCACGTCATCATCATCACTGTCGCTATCGCTGTCATCTTCGTCATCTTCACCACTTGGAAGGGCCTAGCAACAATAAAAGCATGCAGGAGCTCATTAATACATAAAAATGATAAATTCCCCTGGACAGAAAGCCAAATCTTTCAAAGCTTGTATGATGGAGGACTACTAGAAAGATTCTGATACATAAAGACATAACTTTCTACTGCACTCCAAGGCTACACAAAGTTGTCTTTGGAAGCAAACCCCATGGAAGTAGCCAGCCTTCAACAGAAATGGACAGATGCCCCCAAAGGAACTGCTGTGTCTGTTGAAGAAGTGAGAATCAGGGCAAGATTTCTGAAGGTGGGAGAGGTTTAACTTGGTTCTATGAATTTCATCACATCCCACAGTTCCTCTCCCCTACACTTCAAGGAGGAGTTAGGGCTTGTCTGACACACGCCTTCACAGGTACGCGAGGTCAGCTGAGAAAAGAAGCCTGTTGCTGTAGTTAGCATTGAGAATTGACTTCCAGCACACTCCCACAGTACAAATGTAATGCATTAGGCAGTACCAGCATCTTTACACTTACATCTCTTTATCCATGAGTACTGAGAAGCACAAAAACAACTACGTCTACCATTTGCAGTGGAACACGTACATGTTGCGATATCTCTCGGTCTTCATTGCTGATGGGCCGGTTCTCCTGAGGAGCATCTTGCAGAGGATGAGAGGATTCTGTGTGTCTGTAAATGTGACAGATAAAAAAAAGGTTGGACAAGCCCAATCTAGAGATTCACCTATCGACATTTCTGAAGTATTCATCCAGGTGACATTCAAATAATGTCTTTATTCATATAGTGTGTTTATTCTGCTGGCAATGAGCTTGACTATACGACAAAATTTAATCATCCTTGCTTGGCTTTGCTTTTTTTTGTTGGAAAGAATCAGTTTAACACTTCCAAAGAGCACGGCCACCTGTCAAACACCACTCAACAGCAAATACATAAGTGGCAGCTGATAGGAATAAGACCATAATAAGCAAAACTTAATCTTGTCCTTAAGGATTCTAATAATTATATGTGTATTTAGTAAGCAGGAAGGGCATCTGTCCCACAGAAATTAAAGAAAAAGTGATTTTACATTAATGAGTAATTAAAACTCAAAAAAGACAAGACAGATAATTATCCAATCTTCTCATTCATTACAAATTAGTCCTAACGAAACAACAGTTATGTTCAAATTCAAAAAACAACTATGTCCAATTAAAGTGTTTGTACAAGTGTTAATTTCTTACATTAGGCAAGCAAGAAAGTCAAATCGGTATACACGTGCTAGAAAAGAGCATGCTCTGTGTTACAAAACTAAAATACAAAGAGATCATTTTTCTCTAACGTCATAGGTAAAACCTAGTAGACCTTCAAATTAATTCTGGCTTTTCAAAAGAGACTATTAGAATAGACCAGGCCTGGGAAACCAAATTCTCCATCAGTGTTTGTGGAGACATTGCTATTAATTTAAAACCTCATGTCAGATAATAAACATACACAAGATCATCTTCAAAAAGAAACGTACGTAACACCTAACAGAATGCAAGCACTGGTCAGATTAAAGCCATTTCAGAAGCAGCAGGAAAGCAGACACCAAACAAGTAAGCCAAAAGATGACACTAACACAACTCGGAAACCAGTTACTGAGCATAAAAAAACACAGAATGAACAATTTGAGCAGTCACTGAAGCTCCCACATTAGAAAAGCCCCATACACAAAGAAATTCAACAATCAAGCCATGATCAAGAAGGAGGGATGAAGGTTCAGCTGCTAACCAAGGAAGCACAGGTCCCATTTTTGCCAAGTTCCTGAGGTGACAGCTGGAGAACTTTAAGTCATTAAAAGTAGCCAAGATGCCTCCTCTGAAAGGATCTCAAAGGTGCAGACACAGGCTGTCATACAGGGCCAAAAGCTGTGCCACTGGAGAAAACCTCACAGATGGCTCCAAAACCTTTCATATTTTGTTTGCCAGATCCAAGCAACTCGTAACATTGGCCTCAACCCCAGGATTTCCTTAGGAATCCAAGATGCCTGAATGAAGAGTGACGAGTGTTACCTTCAGCTTCAAGTCTCATGCAGTATCTGTGGGTGTGCATCAACATTTATGAATGGGAGTTCAAATAAACACCTGCTAAGTAACAGTCAGTCCCTAACCTGCTTCCTTCCCAGGAATGAATAATCTTACAGGTCCACAGCCATCACGTGCACACAGAAAAATGGCGCAGCTGTTTAATTTCCCCAGAACGGCACCATAAACCCATGCAACAGCATCCTGCAAAGACTGCTGCCATTAGTGCATCCTTCAGGCTAAGGAGCGTTAAGAGATGCTGCATCCCACACTGTGCTGATTTCTGCTTCATGGGTAGACACAAATGCTCGAGACAAGCCAGCAACGGATCTCTGCTGCAGCCGTCGACAACAGAGCAAACTAAGTGTCATTTTTTCTTGAGAGACCCCACAGCTCTTCATATAGGAAGATTCTCATTGTGCAAAGAAAAAAAAAAAAGGAGAACTACCACGACCACCGATACTTTTCCTTCACACATCTTGTGGTTATTGGAAACAGTTGCTGGAAATTCAGATTTTTAACCCTGCTTGTAAAGTAAAACCAGGAACAAGCAGTAAATTTCTATCTAAACTAAAAGTTGTTCCGTCTCTCAAAGCTCATTTGATGTTTCTAGGTAACAACTTATCAAGTCTGCCTAACACTTGTTTCTCAACAAGCTTTCATAGTCCCTAAGCACAGGACACTTACTGCAGAAGTGGGATATCCATAACAATCTTAGAAATTCCAGATACTGAACTCACAATGACCTTAAAGGACAATAAATAGTAAACTGAACTTTTGAAGGTATTGAGCACACAGAAGTCCAGTGAAGATCAAGTCTTCTGAAAAATCACGTTACATTTAAAAATGGCAAACTGATAATATTTCTGCTGAGAGAAAACTGCTGGTGCAAAACACATGAGTTGATTATATCAAGATTTTAACCTAAGCTCAAGGTTTTTAGCTTTTCCAGGCTAAACCACAGGCCACAGTTTTACCAGTGCCAGGCCAATCCTCAAAGCACCATTTTTCTCAGGGAATTAAACTGGAAAACAGATCTGATTTAAAACTAATCAGGGAAGGAGAAAAAACCAAAACAAACAAAAAAAACCAGCGTTGGTCTAAAGCATTCATGACGCTGTGCTTAACACGGCTCAATCGTCTTTGCAGCATTTACTGTTATAATGAATAAACAGCCTCTGAACTCACCCAGAAATTGGTCCATCTTCTTGCTTACCAGTGGTGTCATCTGCAAAAACAATAATAAAAGAGTTATTCAAGTGAAATAAAAAAAGCTAAATTTAAGCACAAAATGCGTCACGGCTACAGAAATACCTAGCGGTGCCAAGGCACTATAACCCAAATGTTCTCTTTTCAACAGAGTTCAACTGCAAATGGAGCAACTTAAAAAGAAAAGAAAGAAAGAAAAACAAGCAACAAAACCTATCTGCAGAAGTGAAGTCTCACACCACTGACACAGAACGAAATTCAAAATACATATCCAAGTCTCAGAGGAGGAGTAAAGGCAAATATCACATAAAACAGCTGCAAAGGTCTTCCTATGGACTTTTAACATACCAGGTAGGAAGAAACAAGCATTCAGTTGGAAAAGTCCATGAGGAGGACAAAGACGTTTAAACAAAATCCTACGCTTTTTCCCCAGACACACCCCCCCGTTAACCCAGGGGTTCACCTGCATCACTCAGGTTAGTAACATCTAGATGATAAGGAAATTAAAACTGGACCAAAGCATCGTGGTAACCTCTTTTCACCACGGTGCTATTGGTAAAAGGACAATAACCCCCACCCCCCAAAAATAAAACAGCTAATGCGCCTGTCCCCCACAGGGAAGCTCGGCCCCTCCCTAACGCTGCCCCGCCGGGAGTCGGGCAGTGCCGCTGAGTGACACCCCCGGGCCCGCACACCCCGGGGGCGGCCCGTGAGGCGGGGTCGGGGAAGATGCTCAGGGGGTGGCTTTGCGTTGCCCCCCACCCCCAGGGCCGCGGCGAGGCCTGGCTGCGCGGCCGGGGGCG